GCATTCCGGGGCAGCACCGGCTGGAATGAGTCCTGCAGACGCTGCCCGGGTGCTGCACACAGGACCACCCCAACCCCAGCACAGGGACTCTCCGTCAGCATCTCCAGGATGAAGCAAGGCAGAGCACACACCCAGGTGTCACAAATGAGAACTTTAATGCCGAGTGTTAATTTACTCCTTCTCACCACGCACTAGCTCTTGAGTTGGACGAGTTTCACTTCCTCAGAGACAGGGAGGATTCCCATGCTAGGTACTCTTAGCAAGGATGAAGGCAGAACAAGAGTCTGGTGCACATGTCTGTGATGACATGTAGTTTCTGCTCCCCATCAGAACACTGCAATAGCAATCACAACCCACACACAGGCACAATGCATTTGGCAAAGAGCTTGAGAAGTGGAGCTGTTACAAGTTTTGAGCTCTACGTACAGAAAGTTGACTTTAGCAAACTTTCACTCCACCCTTCAGCAGCTAACTTCCTACTTCAAAGAATTTTAACTGCCTGTGTGTAAATTTTAATTTAAAACCAGATATTTCAAAGTATCTTAAAAACAGCACTTGAAACTGTATCTCTAATATTTAACAGTCCAGTAAGGTTCAACCTCCCTCGGGCCTACAGCAGCATATCTCTTGCTTGTTCAGGTTACTCTGAAAAAAGGGAATTGTCACACAACAAAAGCTTTGTAATTTTGGACGGAGTGATTCCTCACAGAAGCAACGGATCCAACTTATCTCATACAACCACAACAATGTTCCTCATTAACAGAACGAAGTGCAGGACACGGGCAGCACAATAGGACTGTCTCCTCTCTGTGAGATGAGACTGCCAAGGGAAGTTACTCTATTGGTTCTTAAAATAATATTTTAAGCAGAAACCTGCTATCTAATTTCCTGTGTTGTTACCTTAATCACCTTGGCTGTCCTTCTTGGGAAGTGCTCATCAACACAGATGCAGCACAGCACATCAGCTACTGCATCTCCCAGAAGCTCCTGTGCAAACTGTGATCCTATGCAATGACCTCAGTAGTCAAAGGAAATAATAATTTTTCTGATTTCTTCATAGGCAAATTACTCAACACTGCAACGTTGCCAACTTCCACAGTGCTCAAGCACAGACAAAACATGCAGGGATGGGAAAAACCAAGATGGCAGAGCCTTGGCAGGTGCAGGAGCTGCCCAGCACAGCACGGCTGCCCACGCGGCCACTCACCGTCAGGATCAGCTTCTCAACGCAGTCGGGTGACACGCTGTGCAGGTGGGTGAGATGCAGCTGCAGATGGATCTTGTTGTTCAGCATGTCCTGGCAGAGTGGGCAGCGGAGCATGGGCTGCACCGAGTGCTGGGTCATGGCATGAACCCGCAGCCGATTGACGTCCGTGTTGCTGTACTTGCAGTATGGACACTGATACATCTGCAGAGCCAGAGAAAGGGACCACGCAACGGTTACAGCTGCTGCTTTCCTCTTTCCTTACAGCTTCAATAATTCCATGCCTTCTATCACAAGTTATCACCTTTCATCCTCCTCCCCCTCCTCCTCTTTTATTCTTTGCTTTGTATGAAACAAATCACCTGCTTGTAGATGCACAAAAAGCTGGGTTCTTCCTTACCTGCTCTGATTTGGTCTCCTCTGAAGTTTTTGACCATTTAAAGGAGAGAGGCGACTCAGAGCTGCTGGGAAATGATACTCGTTTAGAAGATGCTGGAGGCTCTGTCGGCTCCTTCTCTGCCTGGCTGGCTGGTGCTGCAACAAAAAGAGATTTCTATCAGGACATCCTCAAAGAGGCTTTAGTTGGATGAAGACAGCATTTCCATTTACTCTGCTGCTGTTGCTTGAAACACATACCAAGCAGTTGAGGGAGGACAAGTCTATGGACTAACCTACATCCCACAAAGAACACCTGGCCCAAAAACTTAATTCTTGATTACCTTTCAGGGTAAGGGAATGGTGTCATTTCTAGTTAGAGGCCTGTGGGCTGCACACAACCTGGTAAGTGCAAGAGAGTCTAGTCCTGAGTTTGCATTAGATACGCAAGTGTTTGTCGAGACATGAAGGCCAACGTGTCAACTCCATGAGCAGCTGGACTGACTCAACAAAGCAGAACTCACACTCCCAGCTCACCAAAGACATTTTGTGTATGAAAATTCTGGACTATGTTTGCCTTTGAGATGCTGGAAGCTGTGGCCTCAGCCCCATGACTCGCCCTCTGTGCAGGAAGCAGTGGCATGTTGCCAGGCTCATCCCCTGTGCCCTGGGAAAGAGCACCTGGGGGTACTTTGATCCCACCAAAGTTACAATGGCAGAGACCCAGCCTATGGCCAGCAGTGGACAGGACCAGGACATTCTCACATCACAATGAGCTGAGGAAAGGAGATTTGATTGCAACAACACAGAAAAAGGCAAATGAGCCCAGAAGAGTCAACAGCAAAACACTCTGCAAGTTGAGGCACTCTGAGAGGCACATCCCTGACCTTTGCCCCTCCCCCGAACCCTGGCAGCCTGCAGTACATAAATTTGTGGGACATCTATTATTTAAAAACTGTAAGGACAAGTATATTATACACAGCCCCCGTCTCCTCCTCCCCGAACACACATTCATAACAGTACTTTAATCTGTCTCGAATCGACTTCAAACCCATTTCGCCCTTAATGGGAGTTATTCATTTTCACTTGAAAGGTAATATATGACAGCTGGATATTTAATATGATGGATCGGCTGCCGATTAACAAGGCACTGTAACATTCTTAGACCGGTCCCCCCTACTCTTCCCCTTATCTCTTATTCTCTTTGTGAACCCGCTTGTGTCCACTCCTGGTTTCAGATGGTGCCATCAGAGTGAGATCCAGGTAAACTGCATCCTTCTCAAGGGTCTTTCCATTTGCTGACAGGAGAGGCACCTCAAAAAGTACCATGTCACAGAAAGAAACACAATCCCTACTTCTAATCACCCTCCAGACCCCAACTCTAAGTGTTCAGTTACAAAGAGGCAAAATAACTTCCAGAAGAGAGGAAAAAAAAACCACAAAAAAAACCAAACCAGTAAATCCTGGACCTGGGGGCCCAGAACTGGAAAGTCCCTAAAGGTGCGTACAGGACCAAGGCTGCTCACCCTTAGCTCCTGTGAATAAAATGTGCTTGGAGCATGAGAAACATGGCACCACTGCAGGCCTGCCTGCACTGCTCCTCGTCAGGGAAAGCAGCTCCTGCACTGGGTCTGGGGAGGGAGAGACCAGTTCCAAGAGCCAGCACCATGGGAGTGGGGGACCACCTGCCTTAAAATACCCTGCTCCAGCCTTGTGTGATGTCAGTGGTCCCCATCAGGAGGCTAATTGTTGTTGACATTGTCCACTCCTCAGTGTGAGCTCAGACATTGAGGTGTCGGCCCCAGTGGGCACTCTGGGGTCAGGAGCAGGGTGCAGGGAGCCCAGGTGGTCACGCAGCCACAGGAGCTCAGCTCCAGCCCCGCGCTGGGCTGGGACAGCAATGCCAGGCATGGCTCTGGGGCCCCTCAGGCTTCCCTGCCCAGTGATTGTGCCTCCTATGTGCTCTGGGCAGGGTCTCTCCAGGCTCTGTCAACTGCCACTTCAAGCCTTTGGGTGCCATTTGCTCTGCAAAGCTATGGGCAAGTGCTGCAGTGAGCTGTGCTGGCACTGCTGGCTCGCCTGAGGGGCAGGGGACATGGGGGAGGAAAAGGGATGACTGGAGAAACCTCTGCTCATGACTGTGGGTCACCTTCCCAAATAAAGGATGACAATGCTTTCAGTTTTGGAAACAGAGTGAGAACCACAATATACCTATGGAGTTGCATTCATAAACCAAGGTGAGCTCTAGACACTTCGGAACCCACTGATGTCCCACTGGTGGTGGAATCTGCACTGGAGCTCAGAGAGCCCCTGGTCCTCACCCTCTGCCACCACATTCACTGGTCTCCCCTTCTAGCAGCTCATCAATGCAATGTTTTTGGGTGCAGAGACTAAATGTAACAACCCAGCTGTCAATGACCCCATAGCTGCTGAACACTGGCTGTACCCTCTGGAGTCACCACAGGGAATTTTCTTATTTCCCTTCTACTGGGAAGCAGCCTGCTTAAAATTAGGGAAAAGCAAAAGGCAATTAGAATTTACTTTTATTTACCATCTCCAAAGTGCCCATTTTCATTAAATGCACTTTATCCAACCTGTAACTTTAATCCTTTGACACCAGAATTATTAGCAACTGTCCAGACACCAAAATAACTGGCTTGTAGCTGCTCTGAAAAACGCATACTCAACATTTGTTCTAAGTATTATTTTTTGAGATGCCAGCTGAAGTGGGAATTTCAGCACCGAGACCGAAGTTGATTGTTGATAAACAGCCAAATGCACGAAGTGACACATGGACTCCACATCACAGATCAGAGGAACTACAAACTCCCTTCCGCCTGGAGAAATGGAAACGCACAGCTTGGCGCCTGCTGGCAGATCTCCCTGGCAGCTGAGTGGGACCTTGGCCTCTGCACGGAGTGGACAGGACAAAACGTCCTCAGCCAAACATGTCAGAAGGGCCTTAGCTCCAAACCACAGCTCAGCACCTGAGAAGGTGGAGCACAACACCTGCGCCCCAGCCACGCCCGAGAGCAGGCGGAGGGGCATAGGCCTTGCAGGAAAGAAAAAAGAATTCAGGTTTAAAATATGATGTATGGCTACGTATCAGGTAGTATTTCTGAATGCATCTTGAGATGCATTCAATTCCAATTTGCCAACCTTAGAGAAAAATCTGTTTCTTAAGAAAGGTACCCAAAAGCCAACCAGGACAGCGCTGCTGGCCTCCACAGCACTTCTGAGACCTACTTGCCTTCTCACTCTTCCTTGGCAGCTTCTGCTTTTCTGAGGAGGAGAAATCCTCCCAGGCATTATTTCAGAGGTGAGATGGGAAGCATCCTTGGAAGTGGGGATCTTTTCCTTTACTGGGTCCAGAAGCAACACCAGCATGGGTCCCAACCACTGCCTGTGCTCCATCCTGGTGGGAAGGGAGTCACCACCCAGCCTCCCAGCCATCAAGTTCTTTTAGCTAAAGTACCACTGACAACCCCTTCATCTAAACTTCCATCTCCCAGCCCAGCAACATAATGGAGAAGCCAATTAAATTATTATTAATTCATGCTGCTTTCCGTAAGCCAGAGGTTCTCATCTCTCTGCATTCCGTAAACCAGCTTGCCACTTGCCCTAGAAATTTACAGTGGGGTTTCTGCTATCTCCATTGATCTGAGAACCAACACCGTCCCCACCCCCAGCCTGCTGAGAAAACTCCCTTCCTACTAAGTTCAACAGCTGGCCTGGGAA